TTTATAAATTATTAAGGGTTCATGAGGGAGGGGGAGGGGGGAAAGGAAAATGAGCTAATTCTAGGAACCCAAGAGGAAAGCAAATTTTGAGAATGATGAGGGCAACAAATGTATAAGTGTGCTTTACACATAGATGTATGTATGGATTGTGATTAATTGTATGAGCCCCAATAAAATGATTAAAAAAAAAAAAAAGAAACCTGAGGAGCTAAAAGTGAATGTTACAGGGAAAGACCCCTGGCCACAATTGGAATTAAGGAATCTGGCCAAAGGTAAGTTGTTTTTGTGACTGAGGGGATGGTGATCCTTGATTTCACTCCTGTTAAACATATGGATCCCTACTATAACTTAAGTTGTCACCTGTAGTTAAAATCAAGTGCTGCATTGGAGTTTGTTGTACACTGAAGACTAAGATTTGGTTTAAAAAAAAAAAAGACATTAAAAAACAAAAAATTTAAACCAGCAGAAGTAAAAGGCGAAATGAAGAAACTGATCATTATGTGATATTTAATATATATCTCTTTCAAAGAGAATCATTAAAAATTATTAGATGCATAAATTTGAACATGATAAACTTGATTGCAAACACTTATAAACATGCACCTAATTGCATTCTAGAACTCGGCAATCCTACGTGGAACAAGTTGACCACATATATCCTGAGCCATAAAGCAAGTCTCAACGACTGATATCTAAGGATTGAGGTGATTCAGAATATCATCTGAGTATTTAAGCAAGAACCAAGAATAAAAAGATTGCCCAGGTACTGCTACCTAAAAGCTCTGAAAATGAGATTAGAAGGTACTGACTACAGTGGGATAAAACTGGAACAGAAAGAGACCATAGTTCCTGGTTGGATGAAGACTAGTGGGACCCCCCAACAATATGGCCCTTAGTCACTCTTCATGTCTGGACTTGAACTCACACCTGGTTAGAATAACCGAACATTTAAGATCTAAAGGGTATCACTTACCCAAGGACACAATCAGATAAAGGTTAGGAGGAAAGAGAACTGGAAATGGGACACACAGGGTGGGCGGGGAGAAGCAAGGGTACATTGAAGGGACTGCAAGGAATGAGTTGAAACAAAATGTGTGTGACTTATTGAATGTAAAAACTAATGATTGTCTCGGTAAACTTTCACCTAAATTCCTAATAAAATAATCAGAAAGTGAATACAATTTAAACTAATGCATATAAGAATGAATGAAGAAATCAAAGTATTTTGAAATTAATGAAAATGAAAATATTGCTCATATTTTGGGAATAAAGTTAAAGCAGACTTATTGAGATCACTTCAAACATATACTAGAAAATAAAAAGGCTGGGATGGGGGGTATGGTTCTATGAACAAAGATTCTATATCAAGAAATTAGAAAAGAAACTGTAAATTAATTGCTAAGAAATGAACAAAGGAGTAAAATAAAACACTGAAATTCATAAATAGAAAATCCAGCTATAAGAAATCATTAATTAAAAAAGTTAGTTTTTCCCTATTTTGCAGATGCCACCACCTGAATTTGTAGTCGTCTGGTGCTGTTGGACACAGCCATGGTCAACCCTACTGTATATTTTGACATAACTGTTGATGGCAAGCCCGTGGGGCCAGGTCTCTTTCGAGCTGTTTGCAAAGTTCCAAAGACAGCATTTTACACACACACACAGAATATACATATATAAGAAAATGTACAAATATACAAGATTTCTTATACAAATATATAAGAAATTATGACAATGAAACAAGCCTTTAGAGGTTGGAGAAACACATTTTCAATCCTCTAGACAAATGAGTATGAGACAAAAGTACGGTATATACTTGTGTATAAGCCGGGTTTTTCAGCACATTTTTAATGCAGTTTTTGTGCTAAAATTAGGTGCCTCAGCTGATATTTGGGTCAGAGTATATACGGTAATTCTATATATAGTATTACATATAAAAACAAATTAAATATATATATACACATACACAAAGATCTCAAAAATTTATTTTACAAAGCAAATAAAAAGACAAGATAATTACTATCATCACAGAAGACAAAAGATGAGTAGAAAATAAAATATAGAATATACTGCATGACTCAGCTGTGACTAGAGGTTTAGTATTCATGATGATGTAAATGCTGAATACTGAGTTTAACAAAACCATAATGATACTGGGAGGGCAGTAGATTACGGAATCTTGATGGCATCATGGTCAATAGTTGGGCTGTTAACTGCAGGGTCAACGTTGGAAAGCACCAGCTGCTCTGAGGAAGAGAGACCAGGCTTTCTATTCCTTTGAAGAGTTACAATCTCAAAAACTAAGAGGCAGTTCTAATCTGTCCTGTAGGGTGGGTTACTATGAGTCAACATTGACTCGATGGCAGTACATTTCAATGAGGGTAGTATGTTTATTTAATGGCACACAGGAAGAAAGTCTAAAACAGAAAAACCAAGCAGCAGAAATATACCGTATATACATGTGTATAAGCTGAGTTTTTCCAACACATTTTTAATGCAGTTTTTGTGGTAAAATTAGGTGCCTTGGCTGATATTCGGGACGGCTTAAACTCGAATATATACGGTAGTATGAAATGGAAGTAAAAAAATCTAAACAATCAGCTAAAGGAATTAAAAGTAGTTTCCTTGGAAGAGCAGGCAACAGGATTGGGAGTGAAGAATTCCAGGGCTACTAGTTTTTATGACAAGCTTTGCAGAAATGTTTGATTTTCTAAACTATGTGCATGTATAGATATTTTGATAACAGAAAAACGAAGTTTAAAAAAAGTAGAACACTTACCAATACACTTTTCTTGCTTTCTGAATAGAAGTAACCGTTTGGACTTCTTTTAGGGTTTGCTTCGTTTTCTTTTCTGCTGATTTGAATGCCTATTTTTAAAATAAGTTTTGTTAGAAATGTATTTAAACACCACCAACATAAATGACAAGGTAAATGTTTTGGAAACATGACAAGAAATGCCTCTCTGAGAACGTCTCATTTGAATAGCTATGTAAATGATGAGAGAGACCAAATTATGGAAATTCTCCTGGAAAGAGGATCCAAAGTAGAAAGAGTTGCAAGAGGGCAGCAAGCTTCATTGTTCTAGAAGCTGATCCCACACTCCAGTGTATCTAGAAAGGTTTGTGAAATGAAAGAGCAGATGATGAGACTACAGAGAAACAGATGAAGTTAAGACCTTGTAGGGAAAGGCTCTGAACTTTACTAAGATGGGAAACAACTGGAAGATTTCGAGGAGAGGAGTGAAATAACATCACTTGTGATTTATAATGACCATTATAGCTGCTGTGTGGAGTATAAACTATACTGAGAAAAGGTCTTGAGACAGACCCAGTAAGAGGCTATTGTGATAGTCCAAATGAACACAGGGATGATGGAAAGTTGGATCAGAAGAAATAATATTCTGAATATATTTTAAAGAGTCTAAAGAATTTGTGATGTATTAGATACTGTTTATGAGAGAACAGAACAGAATAAAAAAGGTGTCATTTACTGAGAAAGGAGCACTGGTAGTTTTGTCAGGTATGAGTTGGGCAGCAAATTGCAAGGCTGGCAGTTCAGAGTCGCCAGCCACTCCATGGGCGCAAGATGAAGCTATCTGCTCCTATAAAGATTACAGCCTCAGAAACCCCATACAGGGTCACTATGAGTTGGAATCAACTTGATGGCAGTGGGTTTGTTTTTGTTTCTGGTATTCACTGAGATGGAAAGACTGGGGAAAGAGGTTTAAAGAAGAAAAAGAAACTGGAACTAAGTTTGAAAGAATTTCTGAATTAGAAAATCACATTTAGATTGAAGATATAATTTAGGCCAGGAAATTAAACCAGGGAAAATTAATTTTCTTTTTTTCCCTCTTCTAATCATTTTATTAGGGGCTCATACAACTCTTATCACAATCCATACATTCATCAATTGTGTAAAGCGCATTTGCACATTCATTGCCCTCATCATTCTCAAAACATTTCCTCTCCACTTAAGCCCCCGGCATTAGGTCCTCATTTTTCCCCTCCCTCCCCGCTCCCCCCTCCCTCATGAGCCCTCGATAATTTATAAATTGGTATTTTGTCATATCTTGCCCTGTCCGACGTCTCCCTTCACCCACTTTTCTGTTGTCCGTCCCCCAGAGAGGAGGTCACATACAGTTCCTTGTAATCGGTTCCCTCTTTTCAACCCATTCTCCCTCTACCCTCCCACTATCGCCACTCACATCACTGGTCCTGTAGGGCTCATCTGCCCTGGATTCCCTGTATTTCCACTTCCTGTCTGTACCAGTGTACATCCTCTGGTCAAGCCAGACTTGCAAGGTAGAATTCGTATCATGATAGTGGCAGCGGGGAGGAAGCATTTAGGAACTAGAGGAAAGTTGTGTTTTTCATCGTTGCTACATCGCTCCCTGACTGGCTCGTCTCCTCCCCGAGACCCCTCTGCAAGGGGATCTCCAGTGGGGAAAATTAATTTTCATTCTGAGAAATGTAAGTACCTTCTCAGCAGCTTCAACAGTCTTCTGTGTTTTCTTAGCAGCGTATCTCTTATGATCATAATACCTTGAAAAACATTTGTTTTAAGAAATATTTAGTATGCATGAATTTTCTATTTCAAATTATATTCTTAAGTCACAATACAGTACATTTTATCCATTTTTGTATGACACAGGTAACACACAAAACTACATACAAAAAAGTACTGCAACTAAGAAGCACATACAGGCTAAATATAAATTTTTCTTAACACCCTTAATATCTTAAATGACCTACTGCAGTGAAACACTTTACCAAAAATTTGTACTGAAAGGACTTACTTTTTGGCATTGGCATATGCTGATAGGCTGAGGTCAACATCAACAAGCATGGGTTTATTTTTCTGAGGCTTCTGCAACTGTTTATTCTTTTGCTTTTTCTTTTTTCCTTTTAGTAGTTCAGTTTCATTTTTCTCAACACCGATGCCATCATCAATATCATTATCTTCCTCCTCTGATAACAAGTATGGATTTCTATTAAAAATATTCAATAGTATTTCACTAAAGTCAATGACATAACTTTTATTTTCAATTCTTTTTCATAAATGAAAGTAAACATGATTTAAAATAAATTATTTTAATGTAAATTTCTTTCTATTAGCTTCAAAAGCTTGAAAATCAGGGAAAAGAAATTTAAATGAATACAGCCAATAATTAAGTAGTAGGACAATGATAAGCGAGAGTCAAACTTACCTCAGCAGCATCGTAACGTGATTTGTCTGTAGTTTCAACTCTTTGATTGCACTTGCAACAGGATCTCCTTGGGCTTGAGCTTCTTTCACAATTAATCCGATCTCCGTCCAGTCTATCTGGTTGGCTAAAGCACTTCGAACTACCTGAATGGCTCTGTCAACTACGGGCAGGTTCATCTCTATCAGTTCTCCTTTAAGTTTATCTATTTCCTTAAGAAATAAACAACACATTACAATAGCACCATTAAACTTCCTATTTTATCAGTTTTTGAAAAAGTATCTGAAAAATCTAAACACAATACCTGAGCCTGCTGAAGCGCTTCTAACCGGTTTTCATGATCTTTTCGGACATTATCTAATTTCTTCAATGCTTGTTTTTCCTTTTATTGACAAAAGACAGAATTAAAAAATTAGGCTCCTACTTCCGATACCTTTATTTTACCTCCTGAAACCCCCACCTCCAACTCTGCCCCTCAATACTATTATCCAACGAGCAAAAGTTCCCCATATTCCACCACGTAGGCTTATCCTGACTATTCAAGGGTTAGAGTCTCCAAAGCTACCTCATGCCCACCCACTTTTATCACTGTCTATGTGAAGACTTTGATTTACTGGTCATTTGTATATAAGACAGGCATCCCTAAGTCTTTGCATTAGTCAAATAGAATTCAAGACATTTATTTTGTTTTGGCATATATGTAAAGATGGGGGTGGGTAGCGCTCCTGGAATGCATGAATTAGCCACAATAGAATCTTTTACCAACCTGGGGGCACATTTGCTAAAACTGATATCAGCATCACCTATCACTGAGCCTAAGAAGGCTGGATGAAATTACTACCAAATATTTAGAATGGTGACTGCAAAAGAACCAACAATGATAACCAAAATAACCCCCATATATCTTTTTTCCCCTCACATATATTCTGATGTACATAAAAACATGGGACTCAACTACTACTGCTATGTATTAATTCGTTTTTTAAAGTAGGCTAGTCAGAGGAAATAACACACCAGAAATAACACCTAATTTTTAACTTTTACAACACAGATTTTTAAGAATTTACTACGATGATATTTGAAGAAAATAAAATTCTTTTAAATCAAGAACGGCTATTGTCATCTCTAAAAATGTTCTGCAGCAAATGTTCTAATACATAGCTAAATGTAAAATGTAAACACAGTTTAACTTTGTTTAATTATAAATATATTATTGGTACATAAAAAAAAAAGCACCTCACACCCTCTTCTGGCTTATTTAAATCTCCCCAAAACAGAACTCCTTAGCCACATAGGTTGCATTTTGAAAAGTTTTATAAAAGTAAATCATAAATCCACTGCCATCAGGTTAATTTCAACTCATAGTATCCCTAAGTATATACATCAGTAACAGACCTCATTTCCTACTGTATTTTGCTTTTCTCTTATCAGAGAATAACTGATACACTGACAGAGCAAATAAAGATATACTTTCAACCATGAGTTGCCACCCCTGCCCCACCCCTCTAGATATTCACTCACTCAGAGAGATCAGGGAGCTCTCAAGCTACTTTTACATATTTGTACATTCCTACATGAAAGCATAACGTACTTATTAAACCACACGAATGATAGTTTAATCTAAATGCTTTACCTGCTGTAAAGCCTTTAAGTCTATCTTCTGGCCTTCTATCTTGGAATAAAATTCATCCACAGCCTTATTAAAACAAAACACATCAAATAAAAACACAAACTTAACTAAAAGAAACAGTCTCTACTACAATTTTTAAACTCAGAATTTTATGTCATAACATTAAAAGGACCTGAAAAGGTCCATTAAATGTATATACAACTATACTGTATCAAGAATGAAAAAAAAA